GATGCAAATGCGCGGTCGTTAAGGCTCGTTGGGCTCGTTTCTCGTCACTATTTGCTTTTATAGCAACTCTCCGTGGCATCGTTGTCGTTCTCTTTGTCTATAAGGAGCCGACGACGTTGTCGTTCGGTGCATGGCGACGATTTCTTTCCGCCACCGCGGTCAATCGCGGCCGCGAAACAATGCGGCACTCAATGGGATCGTAAACACGCTTCTACAAGACGCGATCGTTAGCTTGATGGACGCGTTTAGACTCATTTCTTCGCTCGCGGCTCGCTATCATTAATGCTGAAATGAAATTGACGAATGACGGCGCTCGAGGACACGCGCACTCGCAAACTTTACTGCAGGCTAAGTTTGTTCATATAAATTTCAGTTTAATTCAATTATTTATTGATTCGAGTAATTAAGTAAAATTGAATTTTATAAAATATTGGAAATCTAATTTGAATAAAATAGAATTGAAATAATTGGGATAATTTTACTGGATTTAATTTAAATAAAATCAAACATGCGCGTAAAGAATGAAAACATTTTGTGAAAAGATAAAATATACATATACGTAAAATACATATATGCGACGTGTAAAATGATAAATAAAATTCTATTTTGATTTTTGTCAAGAAATATATATTGTTTAAAACAACTTTAAAATATTTTATTAGCAGGACATATCAGATGAAAGTGGGTTGCTCTCATATTTTTGGTGAATGTGGTTTTTCACACGATTATATTCTGTAATTTTGACTTAATTGTGCAAATACTCGCTATTATGTTTTTCCAGGCACTTTGCTTGCGCGTGAATGAACTCGATTGACCCAAGAATCGTTTTCTCACAACACGACAAATTTCAGTTTACATTTCTGATTTGTCAGCAAACCGGAATCTTGTGTCGATAGTCGACGAATCCTCGGACGGATTGAAATATGCTGTCTTGTGAAAAATCGAGTTTGGTTCTCGATCGTCGAGCACGCTTGCACGGTGGTCTGTGTTTTGTTATCGGACGTTGCGAAAAGAATTGAAAATTGATGGTGCAATACTTGACGGCACGTGTGACGACCTCAATTGACATCGCTTAAGTTGCAATATGTACGAAATATATATGATTGAAGAGAAGAAACGATGAAACGAAACGATAAATTACACTAATATTGCATATTACGAAAGTTGATGATTGCAATAATAAGCAAAAGATACAAAAATTTTTTCCGTAAAAACATGAGATTGAAAAGAATTTTTTAAATATTTAATATGAATTATATTTGTTTTTTTTTTTAAATTAAAATCTTTAAATTAAAAATTTATTGAAAATAACTGAAAGATAAAATTCTTCGATTAATTTAACTTGTGATATTTCGTTCGAAATCACATTCTCTGATTTCACATTTGATTGCGATTCGAAAATTACTAGAGAATACACTTTAAAATATTTTATTAGCAGGACACATCAGATGAAAGTGGGTTGCTCTCATATTTTTGGTGAATGTGGTTTTTCACACGATTATATTCTGTAATTTTGACTTAATTGTGCAAATACTCGCTATTATGTTTTTCCAGGCACTTTGCTTGCGCGTGAATGAACTCGATTGACCCAAGAATCGTTTTCTCACAACACGACAAATTTCAGTTTACATTTCTGATTTGTCAGCAAACCGGAATCTTGTGTCGATAGTCGACGAATCCTCGGACGGATTGAAATATGCTGTCTTGTGAAAAATCGAGTTTGGTTCTCGATCGTCGAGCACGCTTGCACGGTGGTCTGTGTTTTGTTATCGGACGTTGCGAAAAGAATTGAAAATTGATGGTGCAATACTTGACGGCACGTGTGACGACCTCAATTGACATCGCTTAAGTTGCAATATGTACGAAATATATATGATTGAAGAGAAGAAACGATGAAACGAAACGATAAATTACACTAATATTGCATATTACGAAAGTTGATGATTGCAATAATAAGCAAAAGATACAAAAATTTTTTCCGTAAAAACATGAGATTGAAAAGAATTTTTTAAATATTTAATATGAATTATATTTGTTTTTTTTTTTAAATTAAAATCTTTAAATTAAAAATTTATTGAAAATAACTGAAAGATAAAATTCTTCGATTAATTTAACTTGTGATATTTCGTTCGAAATCACATTCTCTGATTTCACATTTGATTGCGATTCGAAAATTACTAGAGAATACATTGATATCGAAACAAACATTCTCCAATCATACTTTATATTTCGTTTAAAAAAATAAAGAGGAAATAAAAAATAGATTATATACTAAAATGCATTACATACAAAGCACTCTGTATAATATAAAATAGGACATCGTGTGGCAGTCATCTAAAAAATTAACAATTAGCCATCCTCTCACGGCCGCATATCCTCGCCGATATTTTTATCGCACTCATTATCCTGGCTATGAGCGTCGTAACTTGCGGTCGCAATTTTTCACTTAGATCT